CAGAGGTGACTTGACTCTTGTCTGGATGTTACAGGGACAGATGAGCACACACGTCTGCTTATCCGGTGGAGAGCGGCTAATGAAGCCCTCTTCACCAGAAAGCGGAATGCTGCCATCAAAGGCTTTGAGTGAGTACACTACAGACATCAATAAAACATATTTTAAATCTTAAGTTGTAGTTTATTTTAATTATTGTCATTTCAAACAGTTATCACAGCACTTTTCTGATTCTTGATTCCTGTGCATTTGCTGCAGGGCTTTTGTGGTGGAGCAGGACCTGCAAGGAAAGGTGACGATTTGTGAAAAAAGGGAAAACCTGAAACAAAAATATAAAGTAAGAAAAATATAAAGTAAGATCATTCTGTTACTTCTAATACAGAAATCAAATGACATTGTGCTCTTAAAATGACTGCTTTTGTATTGTGTTTGTGCATTTTTGTATGATCTGAAATGTCCGCAGACTGGTGTGTGCAGTGAGGATGGAGAAGTCCACAGCGGTTTCGGTTCATACAACATCAGTCAATGGAGCACGAGTTTCAGAAGCTTCAAAAGCATCATCAAATAAAGCCATGAAGCTTCTGAAAGTCAGGCTCAATTGGCTGATATTGTATGAACAGAAACCAGCAGGACAAACTTGACCAAAATCACATGAAGAAATAAACTTTAAGAAATAAGCAGCTTTATTAAGCGTTTGTGGCCAAGACACAAAAAAGGATTTATTCATTTGTCAGACACTTTTATCCGAAGTGACTTATAGTGCTCTTATACAGGGACCCCAAATCCCTCTGCAGCAACCTGGAGTAAAGAGCCTTGCTGAAGGACACACTGTGACGGCTGCGGCGATCGAACCAGCAACCTTCTGCTTACCAGTTCAGTGGTTTTGCCCACTAAACCACAAAAGTAAAGAAGCTTTGACAAACATTAGCATGTAAACGTAAACATATGAAATGAAATGCTGACAACATTAATTGTAAAATGTTTTACTCTGTTTAAATGTTTTACAGATAGTCGTGCTCATGGAGAGCAGGCACACGAATGTTTGGAGCAGACGGAGCGGCAGCCAGATTGTCCCGCACATGTTCTCCTGCTCTTGTTCAGGGTTGTGTGGTTCAGGGGCATCATCATGTTCTTCCTCATCCTCTCTGTGCACTCAGGCAATGACAGCCTTGATGTCCCTTGCCCATCCATGATCAGATTCAGTCTGACTGCAGCAGTGATGGTCGTGATGGACGGCATAGACAGGTGAAGGTGGACACGGTGGTCAGCTGCAGAACTGTCTCAGCTGTGTTGAGATGGCAGTAGGATGTGGATTCACCGCCTGTAAATACATATATATATTTACTTAATTAATTATTTGTCAGCATTTATCATTATTATTGTTGGGGTGGGCTAGCAATGCATTCTGGGGTAATCTTAATTTTT